AGGAAACAGAAATGTCTGTGTGCAGAGAAGAATCACAAACAACCCTGAAAGGCTTTAATTTGCTAATCAGATATTTGTCTCTAAACAAGACAAATAAAACTTGGTTGTCAGTTCCATCAGATGCAAAAATGCCAACTTGCATACTTACAATAAGAACTAAGTCTATATTTTCAGCTGGTGGTATTCAAAAGTGAGCTGACTTTTTAGATAACCAGACTGAGACATTTGAAAATGAATTTTTTTCACTTGGTTGGTGCTCAGCGCTTTATAAATTACCATTGCGTAAGATCCATGAGGCTGAGAAAGTAACAAGTCCGCCACTTTTGGGGGAAAAAAAAAAAAAAACAAGTCCCCCACTTTTGGGAAAAAAAAAAAAAAAAAAAAAGACCCACAATTTTCTGAAAATGATGCCACTACAAAAACATTCAAGAGCCGTGCAAATAAACAAAAATAAAAAAAAAGAAATCCATAGTTCTCCCTCTTTTAAGTATTCCTTTATTTCTACTTTATTTTGCAAGCAGCTTTCATTCCTCAGACACCACCAAATAGCCAATAAACTATCTGAGCATAAACCATTGCCTACTGGACTGTCATCAGGACAAAGTCTCCCAAATAATAAATGAACTTTTTATTAACTGTGGTAACATTAACATTACAATGAGGGATTGTTTAAAAACAAGTTGTACTGCTGTTGCTCAAGAGCTCAAAGAAAATGGCTCTCAGTTCCTTTATTTCTTCTTGAGGGTAACCACAGGGGTGGCATTAAATCTTTTAAAATATGTTGACAGTTGAATAAGTGTTGCTGTTGCTCTGGTGACACTTTATGCTTTTTAATTGTCATTAATGAAGCTGACTGATACTTTCTTAAAAGTTCTTTACATGTTCTAGTAATTTTCAGACAAAAAGAGAAACAAAACTGTCTGCAAATTAGCCTTGAACCACTTCTCATACAGAATTTTTGTTTGAGAGAATGGAAGAATTTGCATAGGAAATATCTCCTTGACCAGACATTTTGGGTAGGAATGCACAAAATGTTCCCAGTAAACCTTGATAATTATGAAATTATCACTTGGTTGTGCGTCTCCCTATAAATTTGAAGTTCAAAGAAACTTTGTTTAAGTTCACTTTCAAAAATAAGTATGGGAACTACTCTGACTCATTCAAAAAATCTGATGTTTCAAAGGCATAGCCGAACTCATTTTAGGTGTGGAGGAAAAAATAATAATTATAATAATAAAAATGAGCTGGAAATGAAAGAAAGTTTGACACTGTTGTGGAGTCCGCAAGTTCATTTCTTATTTTGATAATACTCCCACTGGCTTGGAGAAATATTTTGCCCATATGCAGCCTTAGAGAGTTAGTTCCTAATTATCTGTTCAGAAGCATGTAGCAACAAGGAGGAATGCATGTGGCTTATGAAACAGCAGGCATTATACTTGGTAGCTCATAAACAGATAAGGGAAGTCTTCTGCTATGAGCAAAAAATAAATTACCACTCTTTAAATTATGGTGGGAAAACCTTTCTAGGGTTCAAAGAGCTGTAGGAGGAAAGAGAAGGGGTAAAGGGTATACCAATAGTCCAGAGATCCTGTTCATGGCCGCCATCACAAGCACCCTACATTTTACATGGTTCCATATTAACATGGTAGATGATTGACCAACATTGCTCAACAAGCTTCACATCTCTGCAATTTCAGACTCAGAACGATTAGAGCCACCTTTCTACCTCCAGTGCCTCCCAGCCTGCACTCTGCAAGAGTAGCTGTCATACAGAACTCATGGGCGAAGCCACTGCAATTAAACAGGACAACTAGATTATGATAAATCAGTCTAGGCACATAGCAGTTCCCTTCACCCAATTCTCCATAGGTCCAGTCCTGTGTATAAGCACCTATACCTGTGCAAAGCATTCAACGCGACTGACCTTTCCTTTTCCCCTAGGGAATGACTAAACAACAGAAATCAGGTGCAAAGCAAAAAAAAAAAAAAAAAAAAAAAAAAAAAAAAAAACCCGAGGGGGTATGTAAAAAACTAAAAAAAAAAAAAATAGCAGACCGAGGAGTTATGTAAGAAACTGGGATTTTCAAGATAATTAGGGTGCAGAAAGTAATAATTTCTTCTCTCACATCATACGCACATTTAACAATATCTCAGCTAAGTTATGAAGTACATTTTAATTAGACGGAGGGGCCATGCTTTTGATTTCAAAAATAGAAATTAGGCTTGCAATCCTTCACCCATTGAAGTTAATTGCAAATTCCCTCTTATCAGACACTTGAGGTATTAATCCAGACTTACTTTTTAATTACATTTGATTCTTAATGAAGTAGATGGCAAAGAGCAAAAGCAGCCCATGATTCAATTCACATTTTTATCTTTCCTGATGAACAAGAGAGTAGGTCAAGATACTCACTGGATTTTCCCATGAGAAATGCTGCAATGTGAATAGACTCAATTGACTTGCTCCTGAAGGAGCAGCTTAGTTTTGAAAAACATCACTCATTTTCTTCGCCTGTATAAATTCTATAGGTTAAACTTATATAATTTTAGATACTAAGCTAAATCTAATTTGGATCATGAAAAATACCCTGTAAGTATTCTAAACTTTAATGACTTGCCTTTATTGTCTGGTATCTGGAAATTTCACCTTCTCTCTTTATATCAGTGCCAAAACAAAGAAATCAACAGAATAGAAATTTATAACACAGTGGGGCTGCAATCTTGTCGTACCCAATCTACAAACTCTTTTTACATATGAAAAGTTGCTTCTTGCCATCTGGAGATCAGACTTAAAAACAAGCTTACAGTTTTCATGTTATATTAAAAGTTTAGTCCTGTATGTCAGATATTATTTGATATGTTCTAAAAGGCATTTTACACTTCTTATGACTTTGAAAGAGCATTAAAAATCAAGTACTTAAAAATATATTTTATTGGAAGAAGAAAAAGTGTGAATGTTTTTCTATTTAAAAACTTGGGATCATATTCAGCAGAAGTCTATGATTATAACCTCTAGCCACATTTAAATTATGAGAAGACAAACGGAAAGTATTAGGGAAAGCAAATTGTTCATGTTAACACAGTCATACAGTATGGCAGGTCCCAGGGGACACTTGCTCTCCGCTAACTTTTACTGAGAATAGAGACTGCCTGTTCTACCTATGCAAAACATTGCCTTAAAAATCAAAGGCATGACAGAGGACCGCACTTCAGAATCACACTGTAAGCAAGAGATCTCAAACAGGAAAACAGGATTATTTAACTCTGGACACAATGTGAGAAGCCGAGTTAGTCTGTTCTGCCCAACTGTGACGGAGGTGCAAGTGTAATACACATTTACCACCAAACTTGCTCTTGTACTGAGTTGAGAACCAGTGCTATATACTTTAAACCAGCATGATCATTTGACAAGTCCTTATTGGAACACAAAGTCACCACAGCTTTACTTTAACTCATGCCTACTAAGTATTGGGCTCAAAAGATTAATGCCGTACCCCAATATCAGCAAAATCTTGCAAATGATCAGTTGATCGGTTTACTATTTGTGGAAGGCCTAACTTGGTGAGGTCTCCTCCAGGATGGTGCCCAGGCGGCATGCACAATTAATATCATTGTTGTGAGTGTATTGGTTACTTAGTAGCTTTCTTAAAGCGATTCCTACAAAGACTGCTCAATGTATGCAGAATATTCACATAGCAGGACATGGCAGCTGCAAGGCAGTCTTGCACTTGTGAATGATACAAAACATTCTAATTCCAACAGTGTTCATGTGGGGCCTAGCAAACTCCTGGGCCTCAAAGACAAATCCCAGAACAGGTAGAGGGCTGAAGAAAGCAAATGTCATTATATTGAATGACAGACAATTTCTGATTTAATTTAACAGATTAGCCCATGCTTTGAAGGATTCACATGTTCTGAACTGGTGGCCAAAAAATCAGGACTTACGACAAGGATTAATACTGGAAGAATGGAATCCACTTGGGTGTTTTGATGAGTGAAGCGACAACAGTTAATGAAGTCATCATCAAAACATAGGCGGCCCAGGTACGTTGCCCTTTCTGACTAATTCTTCTTATGCACTGTGTTATAGACTAAGTAACTCAAACACGTTGTGTCTTCAAGGGAGGATAGGATAGACTGATAAAATGAGTATGGTCAAACAGGCCTTAGATTGCATTTCTTCTACTATTCCAAAAAAAAATATTGTTCTTAGATTTCCATACAAACCCTCAAAATTACAAGACAAAGACTTCAGAGAATTTTCATAGAAGTGCAAGGAAGGACAGAATTTTCACAACACATGCAAACACCAAACAAAATGTTAACAGCTGGCAGGAAGTCTTTTCTGCAATTAAATGCAGGATTGTAGAGTGGCTACCTTACTACTAAAGTAATATTGAAATAACCAGAATAATAAAGTATTGCTCAGCATTTTAGAGGTGAATGCACCTCTCTTGAAAACAAATATTTTGATTGCTTGTTTACAGTATGTAGACATCAGTGATTGCAAAATGCTAAGTACATCCAAGACACTGTATGAAGCACACAAGGAGCGATATTTTGCCAAAGGACTCCGGCGCCTTGCTAACTAGCTTGGTAAACCTTCAAGGAGTCTGATTTTCAGAGTATAAAGTGTCACAGTTGGGCAACAAATGAAAGTAACTCAAATTGCTAAGCATGTCTACCACATGCCATGTACTTCATGTGCTATTATAATTCCAGAGCAAAATTAAGGATAAGAAATAAAACCTTTAATTGTTAGTACATCATAAGAACCTTCAAAACAGAGAGAAAGGATGATTATTTAAGTACCTATAGCTATAGCAACAATGAACTTCATGTAAGAATTAAATTTAGATTAGAGGGTATCTCAGCAGCACATCAAAAATAATAATTTTGCGCACAGATCAAATAGCCAATTTCTACTTATTGAGATGACAGGGGAAGAAGAAAATGTTCAAGGATAACATTTGCTTAAGAATGTTTATCTTCTTTCTTACCATTGAATGTTAAAAACACCCTTGCTTGAGGCTGAGAAGATCCTTTTACATGGCTAGAGTAAATAAATATCCCAATCAACACGTGCAGTAAAAGCAGTGCCATCTCTTCAGATTTGCAACTTAATATCCAAGAAATGAAACCTGAAAGAAAGAGAGGTCATGTCACCGTCTTTATACAGCTATGTGCAGCACCAAAAACACTACAGGCCAATCTGTGTTAAAAAACTCTTACAGCTGAAGTCATAATATGTGATAAAGTGAAGAAGCAAAGCATTTCTGTTTTCTTCTTTATGGATCTAAAAATGGTTTTCTCCAGCCATGTTCTGTGTCAGCACAAAAAGGGCTGGCTGCCTGTTAGTATGAACCAGCAGAGACGGGCTTTTGGCTAAGACCAACTGAGATTGAGTTTATTTAAATAAGGACAATTCCACCTGCTGGAAAAATAATTATGCTAAATGTCAAGGCAGAGCAAAGCAAGGACAGGAGATAAAGTTTCACAAATAAAAAAAAACCTGGCTGATATTTTTAGACCTCTCTCCTTACTTTACATGATGTTTGATCTCCCTCTCTTCTCCCTGCCCTCCTTTTAAACATTTGAAATCGAGGGCGCTCAGACACCAGAAGCTAGAAGCTTAGGACAGTTCAGAGCTCTAGGAGTCCTCAACATCCTTTTTAAAGGTGAAGTGCTGACCACACACTTCACTCATTTCAATATCCTTGAAACCAAAAGCAATTTGACATGCTTGAAGCTATTAGTCAACATTTGCATTTGGGGCTTGCTCCTTTCAGGTGCTGCCCAGTTCCCTTGGACTTCTCAGGGCACTAACACCACTCTGTACTAGGCAGTGTATAAATACCTGACACTGCTCTTACTCACGTATGTATACTGAAACTACACTCAACTTCTGAGCTGTTGGGCTCTTCTTCATAGAAACAAACACACACCCCAGATCAAGTCTCCGCATTTTCTTACACCAGCAAAACTCATGCTGGGCCCAAGACAGAGCTTAGGGGAGCAGCAGCACTTCCCCGGGGTGGGGCAGCTGACTTTGGGTTGAACCCATAAAAACCAGGACACATCCAAACTTTAATGGTCCTGAGCTGCAATGCTCAAACATTTGCACAAGTCTTAATCTCATCTAACCTTCACCTAAATTGCTGGTGTCAATGGATTAACATTATTTTTTTCCAGATCAGCTACAAAAGCCAGAATAAATCACACACTCATTTTTAGTCCCATTCTTCTACCCCTCATATACACAGGCATATGTATTATGCATATACATCTTTTTTTTTTTTGTCTGCAGCAGCCTTTCAATGTTATTTGATGGTATTTGATAGTGGGATGATATATATGATTCGGTGGTAACTGGAAGCATCTTGAAGGAGGCAAACTCTAAGGCCAAACAATAGCATCAGAGGCTAAAGATTGCTTGCTTGAGGAAGAGTTTTCACGCAGTCATCTCTATTCCTTTTACCTCAGCTCTGCTCTAGCCTACAGTCCCTCCAGTGGAAGATAGTATTTCTACATCCTTGTTGGTTAGTCCCTCTGATTCACACCTGTCCTGCAAGAACAGGCTGTGACCACCAAACCACGGCAGGAAGCAGCTGCCACGCAGGGAGGACTCCAGGTCAGCACCAATTTGGGCTGGATCCGCACCACTGACTTGGAAGGAAAAGCTCAGTATCTCATTACTAGCTCTGTTACTCCATATCCTCTCCCCGTAAATCATTTTTAGTGGCTTTATTCTGCACAGATTTCCTCCTGATCCGGGGGGCAGGATGGAGAGCGGCAAGGGCATCAGCCCTGCCCACGCTCGGGAGCAAGGAATGCGACCGCTCTGCTAATGGGCAAAAGCACTAGTGGTAGCAAATTCCCAGATAGGGATCTGGTCTACAGGAGAAACATATCCATGCTGGCTCTGTTCCAAATAATTCTTTATGGCTTTGTTAACTAATAAAATGATAGTCATTGAGTTTTTGCCAAAAATAATTCTTAAGCAAGCTACCCAAACTCTGTAACTACTGTAAGGTTTTTGATTTAAAACTCATAACTAGCTCATAGAATATCCTTTAATGTAACCCTTTTCTGAGGGAGAAGTGTCTTTATATCCTGATAAGATTGCTTTGTCAGGCCAAAACAAATAGTCAATCACACTGAACATGTGATTTAACAGATGCAGTGGGATTAGTATTCTACAGTAGTAGCACTGTGCTTTCTTTGCAAGACGGATGAAAAGTCAAGGAGGGAAGAACTATATGTCTTTCTCCTTAAATGATATTGCGAATGATCATAGTAATAGGAACAACAATAATAACATCCTTTCAGCACTTTCCCTCCCACTCTCATGTCTCCTGCCAATTCTAAAGCAATCAGTTCCGAGTGAAATATTGCTACATTTCATTGCTCAAATTTCCAGTCTTCAGACACACAAAAGTGACAGGCAAATACAAGATTCCAATTCTAAGCTGCATGGTTCCTACCCATCTGTTAGATACATAAATAATAAATGCACAGTGTGCCACAAAGGTATCTTAGGGTATCTGTCATGTGAATTATCTGATGGAAATGGGTTTGATCTCAGGGATTTACATACCTGCAAAGTGAAAACAAACTCAGTTCAGGTTTGAAACAGATTTGGACTTACATCCCAGTTCTGAATTTATCTTGGTAAGTCATGATACTATATTCAGCCTGCCCTGTGCACATGATCTCTTCTGACAACCTGCAGACCTAAAGTCTTGGAAGTACTCTTAAAAAAAAAATCTCATAGGACAGAGGAAAAGTAATATATAACCCCACTTCTGCTCCCATGCTGTTTTCCAACTGTTAACAAATCAGCAAACCACTACTGAAGTAACGTGGTGAAGTTTTCCTGATGCAGAGCTCCCTTTCAGAGTGCTACACTGCTTTGGGAAAGTATTCATAGCTCTGCTGTAAATGCTCTGCAGGTGTCATCTGCTAGAGGCTGAGTCTCGTAGTCCCCATAAGGAAAATCATTCATCAGTAGAAAATGAAAGAAAAAGGGGAAAAAAAGATTATGTAGGTCCGGAGAACAATGCTTTAACTACCCGTGAGCAGTAGGAAAAAATTAGTAATCACACACATTCACATCGATTAGATCAAAGAAAGAGAACTTTCAACATTGCTTACCCAGCTAGTGGAGGAACCAGCAATACAGATTGCTATCTGGTCTCTATCAGTTTACAGCCTCCAATCTTGTTACCAGAACACTTTAACTCCAAACCTGCCTCATGGCTGGGAGGGAAGGGGGGAACAAAAAAATAAAAAAATAAATCTTTCTTCCCGGTAGTTGCAAAGGTTCCTCTGTAAAATAATCCGTGGAGGAGGGTTCTCTTCTCCGCAGCCCTCAGTCTAGCACTAGGAGTGAGCGGAAAGTGGCCGCGTGGGGCCGGTGAACGCTTCGCTTTTTGCCTCGCTTCGCTTTTTGCTTTGCGATTGCAGCCCTGTCTGAGCTCCGCGCGCGTCACCCCGCGCTGCGCCGCATCATTGCCCGGCGATAGGGGCCGGAGCTCATAAATAGCGGCGAGGCCCCTCCCCGGCCCGGCCGGCGCTGCGCGGGGCTGCGCGGAGCCCGCGGGG